TCATTATCCTCATCATCAACCTCATCATCGTCCTCATGATCATCCTCATCATCATCCCCAACATCATCCTCGTCATCATCCTCATCATCGTCCTCATCATCAAAATCATCCTCATCCTCATCATCATCCTCATCATCATACTCATCATCCTCCTCATACACTGGCTTAGCATTATCCACATCATAATCCTCATCATCATCCTCATCATTATCCTCATCAGCATCCTCATCATCGTCCACATCATCATCCTCATCATCATCGTCATCATCATCATCATCCTCATCAGCGTCCTTGTCATTATCTTCATCATCATCCTCAACATCATCCTCATCATCATCCTCATCCTCATCATCATCCTCTTCATCATTCTCATCAAACTCCTCGTTATCATCCTCATCATCATCCTATCCATCATCCTGATCATCATCCTCATAATCATCCTCATCATTATCCCCATCATCATACTCATCCTCATCCTCATCTTCATCCACATCATAGGGCGCATCATCGTCCTCATCCTCATCATCATCCTCATCCTAATCATTATCCTCGTCATCATCCTCATCATCATCCTTATCAACATCCGCATCATCATTCTCATCATCATCCACAAAATCATTCTCAATATGATGCTCATTATGATGCTCATCATCATTCTTATCATCATCCTCATCATCTTCTTCATCATCAGCCTCATCATCATTCTCAACATCATCCTCGTCATCATCCTTATCATCATCCTCATCATGATCCTCATTATGATTCCCATCATGATTCTCATCATCATGCTGATCAGCATCCTCGTGATCATCCTCCTCATCGTTATCATCAGCAACCTCAACATCATCCACATCATCAACCTCATCATCAATCTCTTCATCATTCTCATCGTCATCCTCATCATCATCCACATCATCATCCTCATCATCATCCGTATCATCGTCCTCAGCATCAAATTCATCCGCATCCTCATCATCATCCTCATCATCATACTCATCATCATCCTCATCAATATCCTCATCATCAACCTCATCATCATCCTCATGATCATTCTCATCATCATCCCCATCATCACACTCATCCTCATCCTCATCGTCATCAACATCATAGGGCGCATCATCGTCCTAATCATCATACTCATCCTCACCCTAATCATTATCCTCAGCATCATCCTCATCACCATCCTCATCATCATCATTATCAACATCCGCATCATCATTCTCATCATCATCCACACAATCATTCTCAATATGATGCTCATTATGATGCTCATCATCATCCTCATCATCAACCTCATCATCATTCTTATCGTCATCCTCATCAACTTCTTCATCATCAGCCTCACCATCGATCTCAACATCATCCTCGTCATCATTCTTATCATCATCCTCATCATGATCCTCATTATGATTGTCATCATGATTCTCATCATCATCCTGATCATCATCGTCATCATCGTCCTCCTCATCGTTATCATCATCACACTCATCATCATCCACATCATCAACCTCATCATCATTCTCTTCATCATCCTCATCATCATCCGCATCATGATCCTCATCATCATCCTCATTATCATCCACATCATCATCCTCATCATCATCCTCATGTTCGTCCTCATCATCATCCTCATCATCATCCTCATCATCATCCTCATCATGATCCTCATTATGATTCCCATCATGATTCTCATCATCATCCTGATCATCATCGTCATCATGATCCTCCTCATCGTTATCATCATCACCCTCATTATCATCCACATCATCAACCTCATCATCATTCTCTTCATCATCCTCATCATCATCCTCATCATCATCCTCATCATCATCCTCATCATGCTCCTCAAACACAGGCTTATCATCATCCACATCATCATCTTCATCATCATCCTCATCATCATCCTCATCAGCATCCTCATCATCATCTTCATCATCATACTCATCATCATCCTCATCATCATCCTCATCATCATCGTCATCATCGTCCTCATCATCAAAATCGTCCTCATATTCATCATCATCATCATCATCACAGTCATCATCGTCCTCATCATCATCATCCTCATCATCATCCTCATCATCATACACATCATCGTCGTCATCACCATCCTCATCATCATCCTCATCATCGTCCTCATCATCATCCTCATCATCATCCTTGTCATCATACTCTTCATCTTCCTCATCCTCATCATCATCCTCATCCTCATCCTCATCCTCATGGTCATCCTCAACATCATACTGATCATCATCCTGATAACCATACTCTTCATCATCCTCATCATCATCCTCATCATCATAATCATCATAATCTTCATCGTCATCCTCATCATCATCCTCATCATCATCCTCATCATCATCCCGATCATCATCCTCATCATCATCCTCAACATAAACCTCATCTCCATTCTCGTCTTCATCCTCATCATCATCCTCATCATCATCCTCGTCATCATCATCATCATCATCATCATCCTCATCGTCATCCACATCGTCGTCCTCATCATGATCCTCATGATCATCCGCATCATGATCCCCATCATGATCCTCATCATCATCCTCATCATGATCCTCATCATCATACTTATCATCATCCTCATTATCATCCTCATCATCATCAACATCATCATCCTCATCATCATCCTCATCATCATCTCAATCATCATCCTCATCATCGTCCTCAACATCAAATCATCTTCATTCTCAGCATCATCCTCATAATCATCCTCATCATCATCATCCTCATTATCTTACTCATCATCATCCTTATCATCATCCTCATCATCGTTCTCATTATCATCCTCATCATCACAATCATCACCATCCACATCATCATCCTCATCATCATACTCATCATCATCCTCATCATCATCCTCATCATCATCCTCATCATCTTTCTCATCACCATGCTCATCCCCATCTTCAACGACATCCTC